TATTTCAGATTGTACAGATTTTGTCATTAAATATTTGGAAGAGTTTGTCTTATGATCATCGAGATTTTGATTTGAACTTTATTTTTTTCCCATGTACTTGTAATATCCCTTTTTTTTTTTTTTATTTGTTTTTAAAGGTGGATTAGAGCTTGTTTTTACAGAAAATTACAAACTATTTATATGCAATCATCATGTAATTCTATCATAAAAAATCTTAAGCAGATCTTCTATCATAATGCAACTCCTAAAGTTTGTGCTAATTGTGGGTGCTTTTCATGTTCGAAGCAGTGACGAGGCAAGATAAAACCTCAAACTTGTAATAAGCGTTGAGGGATAAATTCTCTAAATCAACGTATAAGGATTTGGACCACTGCTCTTAGTAAAGTTGATTTTTTAAAATGGAACTTAATTTTAATGATAAGGCATTTATCTATATTTTTTATTATTTTAATTATTTAAGACCATTTATAATTATTATAATAAGTCAATCAATAATTATTCTTTTTATTTGTTAATTTATTTAACCTTTAAAAAATTTAAAAGAAAATTGGACCCAAAAAAGAAATAATTATAATAAAATGTGCACCTTTTGTTGCATAGGATCATGTGAGGTAGTCAAAAATAGAATTGACCATCTTCTCACACCATTATACGCAAGGTTTTTTCCTCGCCGGCCGCCTAGGTCCCATATTTACTCGTCTTTTATAACACTGAATTTTTGTAACAAAGCATTTTTTAAGTAAAATAATAATTAATTTTAGTCAAGAAAATTGAAAATATAATTTATTTATCCAGATGCCCTTTTGAAATTAGCTATGAATTTGTGCGAGACAATTTGCAATTATATTTTTATTTTTAGAAAAAAAAATAATAATAATACACAAGAGTACAGGACAAACATCATTAGATAACCCACCAAAAAAAAAGAAAAAAAAAAAAAGAAAGAAAATGAAATTATTGGCATATGGATAATGTAGCTTCTCATGGTCAACTACTACTTTTAATAATTCAACTTTCATATTCATTTCTTCAACTTACGTCTTCAAATACATTACTTTGTCCAAGCAATGGTCCAAGAAATGTATGCAACGTAAACCAGTAACTCACCTACAAGACAAAGACATTCATCTTCAATTCTACCTTAATTTTTATATACGAAGTGGTATAAAAGTTCTGTACAAATATACTTCTCCAAAGGTGCAGTAACAAATTTACACCTGAAAATGTACACTTGGAGGATACCAATGTTCGAAATACGATTGCCCCAGCTAAAATGAAGGCATATTTGTTCGTAATATGAAATAAAACCACAACATTGTTTATATCATCTTTGGAGAATTGTGAATTCCTAGCAGCTGTCATGCTTTAATAGCAGTCTGCTAAATGAAGATTCATGAGACGAGCTCCATAGAAAGAGAAGTTCGAGTTGCAGCATTGAGTACCACTTAATAAACAGGCGTCACATGAAGCTGATGTGGAGTGAATTGGCCAGCTTCTTCATCCGATGGAGTGATGGATAAATTAGCCTGTTAACGCCCAATGACGAGACAAAGTTTAGAGTGCAAAGTGAAACCACTAATCCACATGAGAGGAATAAGGAAAAAGTTCGACAGAGCTACTTCATTCACCTGTTGTCGATGACATATGATAGAAGTGACGGCTTTCAGTATTATGCAGATTGGAAGAATAATCCCAGCAATTCTTAGAAGTAATAGCTGTGATATGCAAAAAGAAAAATAAGAAACTTTTATGTATAAAATTTGGACTTCGCATTTTCGATTAGCTAGTTATCGTACCACGATCAATGGGCAAGAATAGTTCTCTGCTCGACTAAAAATGATGGGAAGAGTGTGCCTCAAAATCAGAAGGATCATAAACTGCAGACAAGAAAATCATTAAATAAAATGAAACTATTGCCAGAAGCAAGTATTTACTCAGCCTAACAGTTGTGATAAATGATTATTATCCGAAATTTATCTTTAACAGTTCTTTGAAAGTTTGATTAAGTATAACAAACTCAGGCCAATGTGATAAAAGAAATTCATTTGCAATATCAGCAAGCAAGTTCATCAATCCATTAATTTTGTTTTATGATTGATATTTCACATCTTTCATCAGTATGAACTTCAAATAAACTGAATGCGTATAATTCTCTCCTAAGAGTATCTTAGATCTAAAATTCCAGTTAAAGATCTTGAATCTGAATCTTTTGGTACTTCCAATTCTCCTTTTATATTCTGGAAAAGAAATTCTTAGAAGTTTCTATGGTTTGCACAAGGTTGAATATACACAAATTGAATGCACAGAGGCAGAGAAAGAGAGAGAGTGATTACAATTATGGCAATTGATCGACAGAAGATTATGCTTCTTCTTGTAGAAAATTCATATTCATCATAGTCAGGATCAAGGAAATTCTGATCAGTTGAAGCCATTGTCACAAGGCGAGGATTAGCCAAGTCTCTTCTGGCTATTTGCCAATTTCCCCTGAACAATCGAGCATTTTGGTAATGAGAAACTATACATCAATGCATATTTTCCTTTCCGATAATTTTGTTATCATAGACGAACAAATACAAGGGAAAATTAGAATAGTAGTACCTCAAGTTCATTGGTATTTCACGAAATCGGAAGATTGGGGGTGGTGCCGTATATCCCGGTTTGAATTGCTGCAATTAGTATATACATAAATCAGTAAACAACTAAAATTATAAATGAAAAGGTGAAAACTTTACTATTGAAACAAGAGAAACAGTAAAACAAAAATAACAAGTAATTGAGCCAAGTGTGAAAAAATTCGAAAATAGTAGCCTACCTGATGGCATATCTCACATACAGTGTCACCCTTCTCATTACACCACCTCTGAACGCATTTCCGGTGAGCATACTAGAAGCAAAGCAGAGCCATCATACACGACTTTTTTTTAAAGTATAATTGGAAAAGGAAGAAAACAATCAACTTAGTATAAACACCCAGGGAATAAATAAATGAAAAACAGAAGTTGCTTCAGAAAAAAAATTATCTTAGGTCATATTTCTTCATTGATATAGAGTATTTTGTCAATAAAGTCAGATTTCAACAAAGTCAGACTCTGCCAAACAAAACACAAAAATTCAATCTTATCCAAAATTATTGTCCAATCTTTACATTTAAAACAACCTGTTGTTAATTGAAACTAACAGAAAAATTCGAAAATACAGTGTGTATCACAATCCTGATTAAGGGTAAACATGAACAGGATAATTTCTTGACTTTCAGGGACAGATGAATAAGAAAATTTATATATGTCTTAGGCTTTAGCAATTGAAATGATGTTGAGTGCAAATAAGAAACATCACAAGATAATTAGAAGCCTAATATAACTAATTATCTGAATTGCGTAAATCATTATAATACAGAAACGGATAAAATCACATAATCATAAAAATCAAATTTTTAAAGAGAACAATAAAAAGATTGAAGGCCAACCAACCTTCAAGCTACCACAGCAAGAGCAAGGAGACTCCATATTTGAATTGACATCTTCATCCTGGCATATTCTGCACTCAACCAGTTTCCTCGGAGATAAACTAGCTTCACATTCTTTACGAGGCGAGCAGTCAATCAATGTTTCATCGATTGCAGCCTGTTTTAATGATTTTCTGCTTTCGATTGCAGCTTCCAAAGTTGATTCAGTGAGCAAGCGATCGACCAGCAAAACAAAGTGATCTCCCATCGTCCTTCAACAGTATAAGATTATCACTTAATGAAAATTAAGCCTTAAACAACCAATCCACCTTTACCAAATCTCCCTGAGAATAAGAAAAAAAGAGCTATATAATTTAATCAACAGATACTTATTCACAAACAACAAATATAGACTATGCCTCCATGTTCATTCTTGCAGCCAAATTTAAAAATTGAATTAGCAAATGCTAGTTAGAAAGAAAATGAAAGACTGGGAAACAAAATCTACCTTGTAGTCCAAATGAGAAAATCAAACAATAGGCAAAATTAATGAAATTCCAAATATAAAAGACAGAATTCTATTAAAAAAAAAGGGATAAAAATTAAATAGAAAAATGCTCCTGAACAATATTTAGCAGTCAAAAACACTATTGAAGCCTCATACAAAGAGAAGAGAACAGTATAAATACAAAGAAAAGGTCTACCAGAACAGAAAGGAGGGATTAAAAGAATTAAGACAACCACCAAAAATTCAGAAAGTGTATTTGCTTTTCCTCAAGAAACAAAAAATGAAAAGCACAAAAATGGTAAAAACTCATTTCACAAAAATACTTAAAAAACATTCCCAGAAGACATAAAAGCAGGAAAAAGAGAAGAACCCATCAAACCCAGGCGCAAAAAGAAGAGGAAATGAGACATACCAGGGGGCAAAAAAGTGATCTTTCGGGCAATAAAACTTTAAATGCAAATAAAAATTAAACACAAAGTAGTGCGAATATAATGGAATATACTTAGAAAACAAAAAAAGTTTAGAACAGAGACTTACAAGAAGGGGATCGGATATCTGAAAGCTAAGAAACCTCTCTTTCTTTTGCAAAAACCCGAGTTTGGAACCAAGCAAGAGATTGAGTGTCCTTATTATTGTAAGCACCCAAATTCAAATTCTTTATCAAATACAAAATACATACAAATGTTTATATACATAAACATCCACAAACCAGAAGACCTTTTTCGTGGAAAAAAACAAAAAAGGAAAATTGTCCCGGAATAAAATAGTATCTCGAGTCTTTCAAGCATGTCCCCACCCTTTATACTAGTTTATAGAGTAGTGACATTTGTACAATTTACATGCAGCAGTTTTTTTCTAGAAAAATAAATTATTTTTGATCTTTTTAGTTTTTCATTTTTTTAAAGAATCAGTTATCTGTGTGAGATTCTGACGGCAAAGAAACGATTACTCTTCCCTTTCAGTTATTTGACGAGATCATTTATAGCCTAAACTCAATTAATTATGAAGTTAGATTATTAATATCCTACTCTGTTTATTTAATATCTGATGAGTTCCATTAGTTCAACCAACCAAGCTAAAAGTCATTATAATTAATATCTTATTAATTGTTGAGTAATAGTTTTCTCTGTAATGAAAGGTTTTTCTTTTTAGTCGTTTAGGGCCCCTTGCCCTGGATTAATAAGTTAAGTATTTAATGATTTTAATAATATAAAAATTACTCATTTTGAGTGGAAATTGTTGTATATTATTGATATAATTTTTTTTTTTTTTTTCAAGTTTTTGAGGATATGTTGATTCTTTAATACTATGAAGATTGGCTATACGAAGTTCATTTCATCATTTTTTAGAATTTCTCGAAATTTTTATGAAATATAACATCCATAGACAAGATGGCCAATTGGCCACAATTCATTATTAAAAATTAATATTTGTTATTTAGGCTTTCGATTCTATTTTAAAAGTTAACTTCTTTAAAAAGAGTAACTTAAACTCTAATATATTGATAATATAAAATTTTTATGGATCATTTTGGAAAATTTAACTTAAAATTTTATACTTTCATCTTTGAGTTTTGGACAATTCAAATTACTCTCAAGTTTTTTTTTTTTTTTTTTTTTAGCTTCGATATCAACATTATAAAAAAAAAAAAAAGTTTAAACTCTTAATTGTTAAATAATTGTTAACTTAAAAGAGAGAATTTACCCAATAATCATGGTTAAGAATTTTGACACGTTGAGGTTACACGTAAAGCTATTTTTGAAGTATTCTAAAGTCATTAAATACGTATACACTTAAACTACTATTCTTTTTCACTAAGAAAGGAAACGTATCCTTTGGATAAATAATAATGAATTAATCGTCAATATTGATCAAGACAGGGAGAAATTAATTAAATAGCAGCAATATTAATTTAAACCGTGTATATTATCCTAGTAATTTTAAGTTAAATAATTGTTAACTTAAAAGAAATAAATTTTCAGTGCAACTCTTTCATCTTAAATTAGTAATTATTTTTATTCACTAAACAATTATCTCCTTTCATAAAAATAAGTTATGTAAATAAAACAATGTCAAATATATATAGAGTATGTTTAGCTAAAGCTTAAAATTAGGTTAATATCCTGTTAAATTTATATCGTATACTGTATACACGATTCAAAGATGGAACATAAATGGGACCATTGATGCTTTAAAACCCATAAATTGAAGATGGATTTTCTATAGCAAAAACGTTAATACTAAATACTCGAGTTGTTAATAATAAACACTAGAGCAATGATGATGATTAACAAAATAGATTGCTTTTCAAACAACAAGCCTCCATTATTCATTTTCCTAAGCAAAATTAAATTTCAAGACGATCTATTAAATTTAAATCTCTATGTGGATGTTGTTTCAAGTTGAGATACGGCCTATCGATGGTCAATTGAAGTTTAATTAAAGAAGTTTGACTATTAATAGCAGAAAACTTATACGTGTGCCAATTGTTTTCTTGGTCGGCTCACTTTGGTGGAGTTTGTTGTGCAAAATATGGTCTATATTTTTTGAGGGTTTGGTTGACAAGAAAAGTACAATCGCGTCATAGCTTTCTCATTGGTTTGGTTGGTGACCTTCTCAAACAATAAGAATCCATTCATATCTCATGCATCAAGTCAAGTCAAATACATACTTCTCATATTTTGGAAGCTTACCAAATACGATAGAATGTATAGTGTATATATTTTTCTCTCTTATTTTCAATCACATTTTTTAATAAAATAATATTATACGTAAATAAAAAAAATTGTTCTTTTTAACATCATATTCTTCCAAAAAATACTATTGCATAATAGATTTTACCAAAATTTCTCTTCGAATGGAGCTCAAACAAGGGCTTAACATCGACTAAGATTGAAAAAAGACTTGTATTATGAAATTGTTAAAATTATAGTATTGGAATTTCCAGCATTTGGCTGTGTAGCAATGTGGAGGATGTCGTGGACCTAAAATATGTTAATTTTTTAGGCAATGACATTTCCAACTTTTCGATTTTGCAGTACCACTAGTCTTAATAGATAGAAAATGTCTGTTTTACTCTTAAAAATAAATTATAACTTCATTTCCAGATGAACCCAAAATAAATGGTGAAAGAAAAGGAAACGAAAAAGAAAGGATTACATTAATTGGTTGGTACATTATTAGTAGGTGCGGATCCAGATTTTTTGGGTTGTGGGGTTAAAAATTAATGTGTAATTTTTCAAAACAATATGATATTAATGAAAATATGTTAGTACGCATTTTGATACCTCAAAAATGTTTTATAATCATATCATTATCAATATTATTAAATGGATTTTGCTACACGTATAATTTTGTTTACCATTTCGTTTATAAATGTTAAGCTAACAGCAAGTAAATCAAATTGGATGTATGAAGTAAATGAATTAAAAAAAAATTCTAAGTAAATGATATTTAAGTATAATGCAAAAGTAATTTGAAAGTAATTCAAATTACAATTAATCTGTAACGATTTTAAAATTGTTGAATTCATTTTTTATGTAAAATTTCTTAATAAAATGATGCAAATTATATTGAAAAATTTATCGTGCAGAAATAATTAACGTTAATGAAGTAATTGATCTTTTTAAGAAAAGACGAGTTAAACGCCTATTTTAGTACGTACATTTGATGCATATTTAACAATTTTCAATATCTGTTTAGACCAGTTGAAATGACTACGATATAATTCTAAAAAACGAACTTCTTGATGTGTCGTAACTTTTGTTGTGGTTGATCATTTTGCACACCATTAAAGAGAACTAGGCTATGAGCACTTTGAAATAATATTAAGCCCTTGTTTGACACACATTATTTGAAAAATTAAAAAGTTTTGAATAGTATGTTTTGGAGAATGTATGGTTAAAAAGTAAAGAAATTTTATTGGGGTGTGTTGAATATTTTATTAAAAAAAAGATTGAACCCTAACCTTGAGGGTCCCCACCGTCTCGTCCCTAGAACTTTGTGAGGAAGGCAAATCGCGAGATATGCCCCAACAGGTCAGGGAACAAGAGCTGCTTGTACATTGCGTCTACAAGAAGTTCAATTCTATATCTCAGGAATCGAACCCCCACACTGTGGCTGCCAATAAGGCGTGAGATAACATCGCTCCTGTCCTTTGCACCATTAGACTATGCCCGAGGCATATTGAATATTTTATTGTGTGAATGTATGATGGATAACAATACTGTAGCAAACAATTTAAAATTTTAAAGGGGACCAAACAAGGGCTAAGAATGTAATTTTTCGACTTCATTTGACATGTATTAAAGTATGTTGTAACTGGGTTAAAAAAACAACTATTTTCTCGAAAAAAATCCAAAAATTTTGTAGGGGTCATTTGATCGCCCGTGGATCCGCACCTAATTATTAGATAAGATTGACAAAAAATTGTACAATGGAGTCTTAGCGCACAACCTTTAATAGGTCCCCAAGACTATTTTCGCTAGGCAACAATGTTTTCAACTCTTTAATTTTGTAGCATTGTTGGTTTTAGTGTACAAAAACAATCAATTTTGCCGTGAAGAATTGAGATATTTGCTATAAAGACAATTATATCCTTATTTTAAAATAAAATAAAGGTAAAATAATAAAAAGTAAAAATATTAGAAAAAAATGCAATATTTTACGATAAAATTTTTGAATAGTTGTATTCAGTATTATCTACTCTACCCCCTCTATATGTTTGTTATGTTCAATATAATTATTCTCTACATCCAACGTGATCATGTATGGTTGAACAACTAGTTGAGGTTTACATGTAAGATATGTAAGTATTATGCCCTAGGTCCAATCAACTTTGGACATAAATACTTTTATATATAATTAATGCAATTAAATGGCAGATCTATTATTTAATTAATAGACAATTAAATAAATAATAGAGTCCGTAGATTCAAATATTTGTAATTTGTTAATCACAAGGAGTTGTGATTGTGAGATACAAATTACATCTGATTGAATCTTAAATCATCCGTGGTCGTAAGTAATAACGAGATACGGATATCGTTATTACGGATAGACCATCACGTGTGTCTTTTCTTACTTGTGAAGTAAGTAGCTGATCTCACAAACTAAAGTGTGGTGACACTTAAATGAACACGTGGATGTTTGTTATAGAACAAAACATTGGAGACCCGTCGAGAGATTCCACATGGATAACTATCTGAGTGTCGGTGGTTAATCTCTAACGTTCGGTAGTGAAATTGGTCCTTTGACTTGAGGTCGTCATGGTACCTTATATGAGGACAGTCATACTTTGGCGGTGTTGGATGTTGCTCTGAAAAGGGCCGCTAATACGACATCGTTCGGGTACGTCAAGAATCGTATGAAGGTTGTGATTGATCAATAAAGGATTCGTCACTCTTAGATAGTAGGAGATTATGATCTGCGTTTCATTCAATTAAGTCAATGATGAAATCCTTGGCCAAGGTGTACTCATAAGTCGAAAAGGAGTTTTCGATTTATATTGACTTAATAGTGGAGTGAAAGATATGATCGATGATCGAGATTGACACAATTCCATATCTCGTAATTGATCGGATCATATTGACGAAGGGATTATAGTTTCACGGTAAACGAACGAATTTGGTTTTGTCATACCACGTGACATTTCCCGTCACATGTATTGCCCTGACACATTGCTAGATGTCAATCAGGGACGGCGAATGTGAATTGACGATAAATTAAAAGAGTGTTTTAATTTATCAATTTTGATTAGATCAAAATAATATTTCACGTCGTTAGGCATCGTGGTCGGGAACCTAATGGGTCACACACAAAAGAGAATTGGAAGATTGCAAATTGCCAATTGATTAATTTAACAATCGTTGGATAAATTAATTAATTGGATTTGTTATTTATATTTTCGAATTAATTAATTGGATTAATTAATTCACGGACCGGATTTAATTAATTGGATTAATTAATTATTGGACCGGACCGGGCCGAGCCTGTTTGGGTTTATATAAATACATAACTAGGGTTTGAGGTCCATTAAGGTTTTCATTATTCTTGCTGGCACAAGAGAAAACCCTAGAGGCTGCAATCATTTTCTCTGTGTGGATCACCGTTGGAGGCTGGACAATTGGACAGCTGTGGTGGCGAATCAAAGTTGTGGAACGAAAAGAAAAGCAAAAGGATTGCAGATCTGGAAAAGGTACAATCCTATCACAATTCCTAACCAAACACAATGAGATCTATTGGATGGGAATCGAAATATATTTTAAATTCCGCTGTGCATGTATAAGTAGATTCCCAACAAGATATGCATGGAAGAATCTAAGTTTATGTCACTGATTTTGGATGAATTATTCAAGATTAATTGATTAATAACAATGACTACAACGAATAATACATCTTCTGAGATCCACTTGAAGATGGATGATAGGTGGAATATTTTCCTTAATATAGTTGAGTTGGTCAATTGATGATGATACAAATTATTGTACCTCAAATATATTTATTTCTAATATGGTGAAGCCAAATAATATTTCAATGCAAATGGATAGTTTTTCGATGTATTAATAAATAAGCTACAAATGGCAAGAATCAATAGAGAAGAAAATTACTAATCAATTGTCAAATAAAAAAATATCGAATTCTAGTTATAGTGAATTGCACACTTATTAATGCTTCTTTGTTCACATTTGCTAATGATCATGAGTCAATTCTTTGAACTTGTGTAATTTTCATGCTAGGAACACCTTGAAGCTTGGGAAACACATTTGGAATGAAAAGTGCAAAGAAGATAACAAGATGAGGAAATCGACACTCAAAAAAGGGGAGAAATTTAGAGTTTCAAGATTAAGAAGGATATTGACAAATGATATATCAATTGAAACAAAATCGATACAAGAGTCCAACACATTTAACAGATCTCAATTTGAAGTATTCTATATAAAGTCATGCACATTTTAGTTTTTTATCAAGTGCTAAATGTCAAAATAATAGCACACAAAACAAATCAACACGCTCCAGCTCCATCCACTACACCATGAAAAGCTTTTGAAGTGGCCAAAAATCTGAAAAAGACCTTTGCAGTATTTTACCGTGTGTTGCAAAGGTCGAAGTTGCCATTGAAGGAAAAGTTTTTTTTGCAGCTTTTGCAACGTTTATTTGCTTTTGCAACTTTTTTGACTGTTGCCCAAGAGATTTTTTTATTTTATTTTACTTTTTTACCAATTGATGTAAATTGACTTGCAAAATTGAAAAATACACTTTGTGAAGAAATTTTGGAATAGCATAAAAATTGATAATTTCATTACAAATTTTTGAATTAATACACTTGAACATTAGAATGTGATACATCATCTAACTAAAAAGGCGTAGGGATTAAAAAGTTTCTGTTGCGTCCTCTATAAAGCTCGAAACTACAATAAACTATCCACACTACAAATTGCACAGAAAAAATGGCATTGAAGACAGAGGGACAAATCAAGCAACCTTGATTATAACATAAAGATCACCAGGTTGATTACCCTCATGATCTGCTCTACCACTTCTGGGAACGCGTGTACCGAAACGACGACGAATCCTCCTCCCTCGCATCATCCTTGACCACCACAGTGTACAGCAACTTCGTTAACCCCTCTGCGACCGCCATTCCTCCATGTGCACATGCAAAACACTCAAATTTGTAATGAAAACCACAGATAGTTTCTACAATTAGATGGGAAATATTTAAAGACAATAATAAATGGGACCCGATATGTAGCCGTTGACCTAAGTCAATACAACCTTAATTATTGATAATATCATAATGTCATACACTAATATAATAAGACTTTAAAAGGGAATTTGTTACATGACAACCTTTCTATGCCAGTAAAAGAAAAAAATATTTATAAGGTACAGAAACATGGAATTTGTTACATGACAACCTTTTATAAAATAGATGTTACCAGAATTACCAGTAACTCCAGCAATGAAAGCAACAGTGGGCTTCTCCGTCCCACTTTCCTGTTTCAGTTTTAGGAATTAGAGCTGGTTAATTCCAAGTTCCAAATATATTAAGTAATAAAATATCAAGCATTTAATAATAAAAAAATCAGAAACTCTTAATATCCAAAAAGCAGAAGCCAAGGTATGCAGAAACAATTCAAAGAATTCTACATGAATCCTTAATTATTAATAAGCCAAGTCTAGATCCCTCTCTAATGCTGGCGGCTATGGAAAAATCTGAAAAGCTGATGATGATTCTTCATAACATAATTTCATTCTCAAATGTTAATTGGAATCAAATTATATAACTTGTTTGTTTTCAATTTAAATCAGCAAAAATATATTTTAAGACCTACTTCTTTTCTTCTTCTTCCATTTTTTTTTTAACTTAAGACCTAATTATTTAGTTGTTATGAAAAATCTATTAACCTTAGCCACAGACATGTTAACAAAGGGAAAGTTTCAATTTCTATTTCTTTATCACACTCTTTCAAATGACTGGTAAGCCACTTGATGTTTTCTTTTTAAAATCAAATCATTTCCACGAGATTCTATGCATTAATAAGCCAAAAAATTTGTTAGATCCCAGGTAATTCCCAGAATTATTTGACTATTGATGCTTGAGCGATATCAAATTAACAGGAAAATGACACTGTATTAGAATAGGAAGATTTTTTTAATATTGAATGGAAGAACTATAACAGTGACGCTATGAAAAGATAAGGCAGATTGGAGAGCTGCCCCCTCTCCTAAGGACTCAGACCTTTCCCACTTTCTTCCCTGCCTTCTAGACTCTACTAACTCATATTTATTGACCCCCTACTCTAACAACCATGACATAATCTATACTCAACAAATCTAACGATTAAGATTCCCTACAACCCCCCTTACATCCCTTTTTTGTAAGGCCTTTGGTATGTGAACCTATGGGAGGTTTATCAGAATTCTTCATGAATAATCCTTAATTATTAATAAGCCAAGGCTCAATTGAGGTTGAGAGATTTGAGTCAGTCAAGCTAATATGGGACAGCAGATCTATTTACAAAACAAAAATCTTGTTTTAAAGTGAAACACAATATAAGAGAGTCAGAAAACCAAACAATCAATAGCAGATAAAAATTTATCTACACTTTGAGGCTTAAAGTAAACAACACAACTGACCTACAGAGAGAGACTCATTAGCTATACAAAATCACTAAAATGCAGACTGTTTTACATTTGCAAACACTGCCACTGAAAAGCAAATTGAAATACAATATATTTCCAATAATAACATACATTCCCAGATTAGCTAAAGAATGGTTGCGAAAAGGAAATGCTAAGTTTTCCACGCAAGAATGGCTGAAATATTTAAGCTACTTTTTTATACGAAGAAATCAGTAAACCTACATGGTGTAGCCCAAGAAGTCGTGTCATTTGATTACTTAAAAGCAGCAATGAGGTTCTCATATGAGTGCTTAAAAGAGTACCTTTGACTTCAGGAAATGCTTTTGAAGAAAGCCGAAACTTATGAAACAGCAGTGCCAGTTTAATAATCTTTTAACTTTTCCATCTACACTTTAGTTTGCTTGTATACCCAAATCAATTTTTATTATTGCAATTTCAAACTCACTCTTTCCTCCCACCAAAATTTCATTCATTGCTAACAAGTGTTTTTTGTTGATGCAAGGCAATAATAGAAAATGTATGCAGAAACCAGACCTCTGCTTTTATTCCCATTTTCTAACAATCTTTCTCCTATCTTACATCATTTTTAACTTCCACAGCCAACATAACAAACAAGTCGGGACTTTGCATTTCAGTTAAGTTATGCTCTGCAGCATTTTATTCTTCGGGGGAGATTTAACTCTATCTACATTATATCTCCATTTATCTAGTTCCATTTTATCAATGATTTAATTCCTCTTTTCACATTTATATATTCATTTCTTATATTCCTATAGTGGGATTTACGATAGAATATAAATTCAATAAAAAAATGATAGCTACCTTAATACACTATATTAAAATTTTAATTTTCAACAGTTCAACTTTTTGTGTTTAAAAAGAGAAAAGAAAAAAAGGGAATAAGGAAAATAGGAAAAAAAAGACGTGCATAAGAACTGAAAAGCACTCTTAATAAAATTACGGGTGTAAGAATTTGAAAAGAATGGAATACAAAATATAAAATTTTATAAGCTCAAATTAAAGAAGAAAAACAGAAGAATAAGAAACAGGAAAGGCGACCTAAAAAAATTAACTGAACTAGAAAAAAATAAGTTCTTACAATATCAGCAAGCATACAGATGACAAACCTCTAAAAGATTAATAGCAAACAAGCACAATATACGTGGGCAGATGAGGTACATTACCATATGGAAGTGCTGGACGAGGTCGCCCAAGAGAAGCCAAATTAAGAGTACCTGGATTAAACAAAGATGAGCTGAAGCTCACGGCAGATGTCGGCGAATCGACGATTTGAGGGAAATTGAAGGTATCAATTGTGAGTCTTGTGATTGAACGTGGACTACCGGCGATCGTCGCCGACGCCTTCGTCGGCAACTGGAATGTTCGGGTTGGCATCTACAATTTGAGGGAGGCCGGGACGGGGGTGACCAAGCCAGAGAGAGGGAAATGGAAGGTTAGGGTAGGGTTGTGTTTTTTCCTTCTCATTTTCTAATTTAAGCCCTTTCTCTATGGTTATTATTTTTTTTTTTTTTAGCAACACTTAACTATCGAATGTTAGCTTTTATGTGTTGCAAATGATCATTTTTGATATAGTGATTAGTTTTCGAAGTCACAAAATCACACACCGTAACTTATATTTTCCAATAATACAAGTAATTAGATATTAAACAAATGGTGTGACCGATGTTTAGTGTGAATCATGGATGGCAATGGAAGATTTCGACTGTGGCCGGTGGGATCGAGCGAGAGAGGATGAGAGATAGCGGCATTTAGGTTAAGGGCATGAGTGAATTGGAGAGAGCCTTTCCGTATTGTTAGTTTTGACATTTCTTACTCCAAGTGTTATTCGTGATTTGAGTATTTGTTATTGATTTAATGCTTTTTTCTAATAAAGTTATCGAATTGAGAACCATACTAACAACGACACTTTTAGTTTTTTTGTTGTAACAACTAGATTTTCTTTTTGTTTATCACCTACTTTTTGTATCAGTCACTTGGACGATGAAGGCCTTGTTGCCAATGAGTTTAGTAACGATCAGAGAAATATTTGATGGCATGGACATATGACAACCAAAAGTTGTTCATAGAATGATAATGTTGCCGTGAAGCCCACAACCTATTGTGTAACTTAAATTGTAGTCTCTGAAAATTAGTAGGTAAATAAGGATTATTTCCTTTGTGTGTAATCAGGGGAGTCCAGTTTCAAATTCCTAGTTCTTCCGAATCTAGGAGTTCGTGTTAATGTTGTTGCGTATCGGGTAGCATTTCTGCTTTAGTTTAGGCTATGTTGATGTAGGAAAAATGAAAGTATTGTTACTTTAATATCACTAGAACAGTATTTTGTGAACATCAATCTACATTATAATTTGATTCTATTGTCTATTCTCGTATTTAATTTTAGTTGTTAGTCTAAGTTTCCATGATCAAGCAAAGCATTGCAAGTAATATTACGAATTATATATTTGATAGATCAAATATAGTAAGACGTAATTTGTGACGTGATTAGAACATATTGTTCGCAATCAATAAATAAAGTTAGATACTTTATGTTGATAAGATTATATTATTCTTATTGGAATTTGTCTAGATCATGAAAGTAAGAATAATGATGTATTTGGTACACATTGAACAAGATTGCATAGATTACTTCTTTGTGACTGCTAAGATTAAGATTTTTACTTGATCATCCAACGTGACATCTAAATCCTAAGCTAGTAATGTAATTTTTTAAAGTACCAATGAGTGAAATCGTAATTAGAAGATGAATCTTGATGCTTTGAAAATTGGGGTGAAATTGTTTCAAATCATGCACTTACAATCTTCGAATTCATAGAACAATTTGTTCAAACGATTGTTACTCCAAGGAATTTTCTAGTGAAAAAATAAATTTGACCTTCATAGTCTGACGATTAGATTGTTGAATTTTGTGTTGTGATTTAGTTACGATGAATTTACTTTATGAAAATGGATTTTGGAGGGCTATGCATATTGAGAGGGCAAATCAATCATTTTGCATGCTTCAATTAATTGATGGTCAAATGAGAGTTGACTTGTGGCTTGATAATCAAAGGATATTATTATTGGACCTCATCTTGCTTCCATAATTATCACTTGACTCTAGTGCAATTTCGATTCTTTAGTAAATGAACTAGAATTAATAGATAAGGTCTCAATTGACCAAGAGTTAAAGACTTAAACAATTTGGTTACTTATCTATTGAAGCTTGGGTCTCATAAATTTGTTTTGGTCCTTCTCGTCCCCAAAATAGATGTCGAACTTAATTGATCTACCACAATTAGTCCAAGGAAAAATAGTGCAAACTAGATGTTGCCATAAATATGGATATATAAATGTCATTATTGTTGGAATGCGGAAGCGGAATTAATCAGAAATTAAAATTTTCTTTAATTCAATAAGTAAGATCGTCTAGATGTTTATGTGTATGTTATAACCAAATTAAAGGATTCGAATCTTTTACCTAAATTCAATGATCAACCTTGAATTAACTCTGGTCCGCGAACTTCCGTTTCCTTTAATTACAAGAATCTTGGTGCTTCAAACCTTCAATGGTATTCTCCAACGCAAAAACTACACCAGTGTGTGGGCACCTTCTTTCAATTAATCCAGAAACTAATTCTTGAATTTTGGACAATAAGAAAATAATATATTTTCTCTCTACAAATTTGAATCTTATGGAATTATGAATGTTGTAGTATTTTTCTATCCATTTAGTCTCTATTTATAGAGAAAAAGATGATACAATTCTAGTACAATTATAATTCCATATTTAAACAAGAGTTCTAATTAAAACTCAAGTGGGAGAGTTCTAATTTAAATCTAATTCTAATTAGTTTACATTTAATTGCACGTGTAGTCCTAGAATTTCAATTACAATTACAATTAAGTTTATAACTTTCCTAGTAATTGCAACCAAGTACAAAACTTTATTGTAATTATAATTAAGTCCAAAACTATTATAATTACCGTAATTAAGTTCCAAAACTTTATGGAGCTATCACAGGGACCTGATCAGGCATATATTTTTCAAGCTCCAATAATTAGATCTTGTCTAATCGACCCTAGACCACTCAATCTAATTATTAGCCTTTTGTTTTCTCCACTAAAGGCAAAAGACTGAACATTTGGAATATATAAGATCACAGAAGTCAATAAATCCGTAATACTTTCTTCTGACCTGTCGTATATATATTTTATTCCCGTCTGAGATCCGATAATTAGGTATGAACATAAATGACCTTTTTGTCCCTCTAATTATTCTCACTAACTTAAGTTTCATTTTCTTCAACGGTCCTGTGAACAAATCACAGATGTCGAAGTTTAGCCGTCGCTAAACACTGAGCTCAGATTTTAACAGTTCAACAAAAAATACTCAAATAATTACTCTACCCATCTTCAGGGCGACGATTCCCGACACAAATTCATGTTCTTTACTCCGCTCATTCTCAAGTTCCCAACTTATCGAGATATTTGACTAATCAAATTGATCTCACCCATTGATGAATCAAAGAGCTATTAAAATCACAAAAAAATATACATAATCCTGTCAATGGATTCAGATGAAATACACAGCGGTCAAGTGGAATTTAATTCTTCACATGATCATGCTATAATTAAATTCGACACGTGGTGGAGTGTATTAGTGTCACTTTTAACTATTTCTGTGATAAGGACAAGTTACAAACTTGAATAGTGAATTGGTCAACATTACAATCTTCCAATATAAGGTGCTAACCCTTATACATTGATTGTAAACAAATTATTTAGGATCGAAATATAAGTTGTGTTACACTGTACTTCTTAACGCAAGTATCCAACTCATATTATCACAAGTGATTATAGGTACTTTAATTTTGCATGCTCAATAATAAATAAATATAATAAATAAAGTAAACATAATTTTATTCAATATAAAAATTATTATTGTTATTTTTATATCAGCAAAATTATAGTATATGGGCATACAACCCAACAATTATGGCCACATTTCTCCCAGATTCTAAGCACATGTCATATTTTCCTAAGCCATCTAAGGAGAAACAAGGGAGAAGGCATGAAACGAGGGAGAAAAAGCTAGGTTTTCTTGGTGAGGAAGGCCATTTAAAGCGCTTCTAGAGTATAGGATCCCTTACTTATTATGCGTGGATTCAAGTTTTTTAATCGCGTTAACTTTATTGGACCTCTAAGATCCTTTCTATATTTGGTTTCTTTATTTTAAAGGAAACAAATTCCTATTGAGATTTAGAACCAAAACACCAGTAAGCATTCTATCTGAAATTTTGGTGTACTTTCCTTTTTATAATTAGTTGATGAACTGAATTGGAGAATGGAAGAGTATGCATAAATGATATGATCATGATCTGTTACTTTGTCGCTCGTATATTTGGTTATAATGCTAATTGATTTGTTGAATATTTACATCATTTGATCATGTATTCCGAAATTGTACTTCCACTGTAATATTGGATGCACATCCCGTTATATAAACGACTCTTCCATCTTGTTATGGTGGTTGTTCTCTGTTTTCCTGTTCATGGTGGACTATGTCACCTTGCCGGCCATGGCTACTAGTGCTATTGTGGGGGTGGTTTTCCTCTTAGATCGACTTTGCCGCAAGGGATGAAGGTGTCAACGCCATTTTCTTTCACCATGATTGCACCGTGTTTGTTTGTATAGGTATGGTCAAGCTCGACATGGGAACAGAAACTCTGACACTTGGGAAATTTAAGACTTTCAGACAAATAAGAAGAAATGAAACGTAAATAAAAAGCTTAGAAAGGGACTCTTGCACTACAGTCTCCATCTTGAATGCGGGTGGAGTATGTTGAAACGTGTAATCCAAACGCGGCCTTATTCATTGGTCAAGTGGGTTGACTCATTTTGACTAAAGTTAATTGAATTTGTCTTTTACTTGTCATGAGATGGAAACGTTGCAACACGGGCGACCTTTCTTGTCCCCATCGTGTCAAGAATTTTTGGGATGAGAATGGAGTGAGAGTGAAGATTAAATTCAATATTCTCATTTACAGTCTCATTCATTTATTTTTCATATTTCATATAAAAATAAAATAACATTGTTCGATCATTTGACAATCCAGTATAAAAATACTGAACTTGTTGATCCTTCGAAATGCCTTACTGCCATGACCAGGACCTTTTCTATCAAATTCTTGAACCATCTCGTGCCTTCAAGAAGTCATCCAAATCACGTTGTTGAAGATAGATATTTCAAACTTTAATTTAGCAACTGTCCGGAGAAGAATACTTTTGTACAAAAATTTTAACAAGGTCATCATAGGAAATAAAACTTTCACCATGCCGTGAATCTAATCACTCTCTCGCTCCATCTTGCAATGTACGTAGAAAGAGCTTTAGCCTGATAGTATTGCCCGAAACACTATTATTAAACATAAAAAGTTGACACATATGTAGAAACTAGAAAGTGTGAAACTTGGGTATTTGGAGTTTTTCTGTTTTGT